AATAAGTAAATTTGAAGAATAAAGACTTACAATATTAGCTAGTTGGTTAAATGGAAGCAGTCGATACTAGATGTAAACTCGTTACCCCATAGTAGTTATTCAGGCGGAAATTCACAACTACACACTGAATATCAAACACCAGTACACACAGTACTCTTGTTTGTATTATGTTCTCTGAGCTGGGTTGTTTAATCGTGAAGCTTCCATCGTCTTTCTAGACAGCGACATCATCAGCACTAACTTCAGTATGAAGTGAGCTGTCAATATCTCTCCGTGAGTGATTTAGTGGCTTGCTCTGATGATATGGTCCGTGATTGGTTGTTTCCTTCGAAGAAAACTGAAGTTAGTGCTGATGTCGTCTAGAAAGACGATGAAAGCTTCACGAATAAACAACCCAGCTCAGAGAACACAATACAACCAAAACCACCCACCTGAGCTACAAATATGCTCCACTACACACAATACTACGTTTCCAGTTCTCTTCCTTCAGCTTACACTGAAAAACTTGTTGTAGATTGACTCTCTTCAAGAGAGAGAAATGGAATAGAAGATACATCTGTGTTGAATGCTTTTATCTTTACAGTGCAATTATTTTACTTTCTTTTCACATTCTATGTTTCCAGATGGATCCAATAGCCACATTACAAATATTCTTTGTTGATATTCAAAGATTTTAAGATTGTATCGATTAAAAGGATCTTTCTTCGAGTAATCCCTTGTTGTCAGTTGCCGCCAAGTATAGGTTTGTTCCCTGGATTATGAACTTTATCATAATTATAAATGCTGACGACACTATCTAACTGATCAAACCTACATAAATGGAGCGGATTTCGAACGTACAACCTATTGAGCGAAGGACAGCTGACTAGTTCAATAAACTGCACATCTACTAGTGTATTCATCTGTAGAAACAAATATATCCACCATGCAGATATAACTCATGAAACATTTACAAGAATTCCTTCAATATCCTTCTAAATCATATATTTTACCAAATGCCTAATACATATCTCATATGACTGTTGACCTGAGATGTGTGGGGAAATGTAAACAGCTTAGTTCGCATCCACGTACAAACATATATCGCTAGTTCCAGACTCAACATCATATGGCTAACAATCAATATCAGTCGAGCACATTCCTCTACACTTTATGTTTCATTCTCATCATCCAACTCCATTTCGTTATTCTTTTACAACCTTGCACTCTCCAACTCTTTTAATAACTTTCACACATCACATTTCTCCATTTCTATCTCTCATCTCCCTCCCATATAATCTTGATGACCTGATATCAAATGTGCAAACTTGTTGTTTCTCTTCTCATTAAGCCTTACATATTAAGCATGGCTAACAACTCAATACAAAAGACTTTCAATCAATAGGTCATGGGTTTCAGTCCCTCTCCGTCTACCAACGTTTACTCAGTCAGGCAGTATGACTTACCCTCATACAATACATATGTACTTCATTGCCTACTTTACGAATGCGCAAAAGGTTGTTGAGTGTATTCGGATTTGTTTCCAACCGAATAAGGAATGGCAGATGAAGGAGTCAACTCAGTAGCTGAATGAAAAGAAACAATTACAAGAATCCCCTCGATATCCTTCTAAGTCATATATTTTACCAAACGCCTAACATGTGTTTCATATATGTACACCTGACTATAGGTAATTTCATCACATATTTATATCAGAAAACCTATTTAGAAATTTCTCATTTCTTCTTAGTTGACTTCCCATAGACTATGACCAAGTCATGATGCGAAGATAATAACAATAACAGTTGTCTTCCTGACATTGAAATCGTATTTTTAAAGTGTCAACTCTGAGCAATAAAATCAAACTACGTCTAAACATATTGTAATATCCGACTTAATAAATGAGGAACAATTCACCTTGGAGATTTGTGGGAATTTATTTATTGATTTTAGGCTGGTATTCATCATGAACTGGCATCAGTTGGAGAGCTATTGAAAGGAAACAAGGAAGTACTGGACAACTGTTTCATCCAACTATAGAACTCCTCAGCAGCGCACAGCTATGGCTCCACCAGAAATCGAACCGACGATAATCAGGTTTCAAGAATAGCGAGTTACTATTGAGCCATTGGGTCATGATCTAATGGTTCACATTTCCTACTTCTGTCAGTTCACGAGCAGTTGAAAAACTGGATAAGGTGTAAATTTACCTCAATAAAATCATAAAGTCACGCTATTCTGTGCTATTCACCTGATCTTCATTCTGAAAGTCCTTCTCGGTGTGTATTAGGCTTTCTTTCTCCTGAAAATACTCCTGCATATCCGTTAATGGAGGTTATGTAAGGTCAAATCTTTGTATAGAGGTTCTGTCTTGACAGATATGTTGTGGTTTTTACCATAGTTTCAGTTTGCACTATCAGACATACATACCAAAACAAAATTCACTTGTTATTCAATGGTTCCATCAGTTGATTATCGATCATTTGGCTGTGTGTACATAGTTTACTTCACCTACTCCAGTCAAAGCAGCTGGATTGATTAGCTGGTTATGTAAAACTACAGCACAACTCAAAGCGATACAGACATATGTGCCAGGATATGAGCCATAATTACTGTGTGGAGCCTTATAATACTACTAGGTTGCTTAAGTCAAACAAGATGGAGCACCACCCTGGAGTTAATGAACCCAACTCCATAAAATTCAGTGAATTAAACAGATAGATAAACAGAAACAGTTACCAAATCAACGTAGAAGCTCGCACGTATATACAATAACTACATTACGTCGATTCATGTAAAACTGTGATAGGACAGTGTCTGTTCTATCAATCCTTCAGGAAGCTCGAAATCTCTGAAAACTTTTAGAATCATTCACCTTTATTAGGAAAAACATATGGTCAGATTTAGATTAAGAAGAGGAAACATAATAAACAGTATCTCTCTAGAAATAACCATCTTGTAACATACCAAATTGCAAGTAAGGGAGTAGTTTGTTAAACTAAAAGGATTTTAGGTTAATAAATAGCACGATTTCAAAGACTCTGTAAAGATAATTGCTCTGAGAAAAGGATTATCAACAATACTACTTGATCCTTTTAAACAAAGAGGGTACTATCTGAACCTTGGTGATAACAAGATATCACTAATCTACACATGTTATAAACAGAAAAGTATGATACCACTATACATTCATCATCATCAATATCAACATAGGACCAGGCATTACTACATAAAAGTCTGAGTTGCCACCACACCTCCTATCAGTACATCAAGTAGAAAGGTAGTGAGGTGAAAGATGAAGATAAGAAAATTCAGTCAAAAGAAATATAAATCTCGAGAAGAAGGAAAGGAAGAATGACAAAATGGTGAGATTCGATATAGCGTCGTTAAGATGAGGATAATGTATGTGTGTAAATCTGCACCACTGACATCGGTTCTGAGCCACATCACCTAAAATCTCCAGCCACTGGTTCCTCTTGTCCCGTGGACCCCAACCACCTAGTCTGCATCGCCCCCAACATGGCTCAAACCAACAGTCAAACGTTTTATACATTGATTCCATGATTTAGTCTGGCCACCTCGGACCTTTCTTCAACTTAGCCTACTTCGGCCAACATTGTGTGACAAGGCAATCGGTGACTAGGCATACGTAGTACGTGTCCCCACCATCTCAATCCATGAAGCTTCACAACAACCTCGTCAACTGACTTACCTCTACTCCCTAAAACTCTACACCTGACTTCTTCATTACTCATGTAGTGACACCACGGAATACAATCTATACTACGAAGGCAACGGTGGTCAAACACCTGAAACCAGCCTTCTCATGTCTTCCACCTTCAATGGCCATGTTTCACAGCCATAGAGTAGAATAGAGTGGACTGCTGTGCAGGTGCAGTACACGCGACCTTTAATAGACAGTCGGATATCACGGTGGCGTTATAGATGGTGTAAATTGGAGAAAGCCAATCGAGACTTTTGTATCCGTGTAGAGATTTCATCGGCAAGTGACCAACCAGGGGTGATCCTACTTCCCAGGTAAGTGAAGCAAGTGGTTGACACACTCAACCACTTCACTTTCTACTGTAAGCTGTGGCACCACTGAAGACCAATTCTGGAGCAACAATTTACATTTGAGTGGTGAGAACCGCATCCCAAACATTCTCAAATTCCCACTCAAAGTGTTCAGAAGACTCTGAATCTTATCAGCGTCTTCACCTAACACGACTATGTCATCTGCATATTCTAGGTCTGACGAAAATTCTCCTGTGATTAGGTCAACGTCTGTATAACTTGGTGACGAGAGGGAGACCCTCATAAGGATATCTATGATAAAATTGAATAAGAATGGAGACAGTGGGCATGCTTGACGGACACCACTCGATGAGCATAGCTCCCTGGACATCTCACCGTAGACTCTAACACGCCCCCAAGTCCTCGAGTAGAGAGCCTTTAATAAGGTGATGTACTTACTCGGCACGCCTTTCAGTGAGAGGCATTGCCATAAGGCTTCTCGATCGACGGAGTCGAATCCCGCCTTCAGGTTAAGAAATACAGCTTTTGTCAAGTGTCAGTAAGCATGTCTATGTTCCACTACGTCTGTAATTCGATGCATAGAAATAATCGTTTGTACACTTTGACCATAAGCTTTGTATACAAATCAACAGGTGATTAAATCTCTCATACTTTAAGCTCGAACATTGAGGATATGCCTAGTTGCTGTTCAGTGTCGAGAAACGTAATATTTAGGGTTCAGAACCCCTTCTCTTTTATCAATTGATTCTAAACAACATTTAATACCTAACAGACTATATGTAATAACGTTAAGTGAACTCCATTTTATAAATCCAATCTCATACTGTATATACATGCTAAGAATTGCCCAACCGAAAAATCATTATATTCACAGAAAAAAAGTAATATTATAGTAGGCGATTACTGTGAATGATATAAAGCATATATTAATAGAATAAAAAGTGGTCATATGCTTGCTTCATTAAAAAAAAAGAAAGGTAACTAACCTCAGTTAAAAAGTCAATAACGGCCTTCAATATCTTCTTGAGATTACTGACCTTGAGAAAGGAAGAAAGGATAAAGTTGATAGTATTGTACACAATCAAACTTTTTTGTTTAGTATAATAATAATAATAATAATCATGAGTAAAATGGATTGGTCAACCACAAGCAATTAAAAATAGGTAGGAGATATATATATGGATTGGTCATTGGAGAGTAGCCAACTTTATGTCGTCTAGTGCCAAGTGCTGATTGAATTCTATCGACCAATTTTGCAATATGGTTACCGGGTAAGGAGACTCAACACAGCTATGCACCGAGATGGATCAGCAGGAAGCCTTGCTGATTACCTTCATCCAACTAACACCTAGGAGATATAGTTGATTCTCATATTCCAGCTAATTAGTATTTCAGTTAACCAAATCATTTCTGTTGGTAGTTCATCATGACCTATTGTTCTTTCCAGCTGTGAATTAGTCAAACGCCTAGGTGTCAATACTACTAGTTTAGACTGAAACTGAAAAGTGAAGATTATTAGAAAGGACTATTTCCCTATAGTGTTATATTCATCATTCCAAATGCTATATTTAACAGTGGATTGCAAGAAGAAATACAGGGGAATACCAATTAATCAAGATAAACGCATTACAGCATTCATCTGAAAGTGAACCAGTCAGTTAAACTTCAGATCTCATCTGTCAGTATTGATAAACTATAATAGTAATTCTGTAAGCTTATCGAATTCTGATAGGGCTAAAACTCTATCAATAGCTATCAACTACCATTGAAAATGACACATTAAACCTATATATATATATATATATATATATATATATATATATATATACAAATCCCTTAGAACTAACCCAGAAAACGTAATATATTAACAACTGTTTCTTTCATGAAACGAATCAATCAAATCCAACAGAGTATACTACCTCAAAGAAGTAAATTTTGAGCTCAGCTAACCAATCACAATATTTAGCAATTTCTGAAAGCTTTGAGAGAAAAATTAGAATGTTTGGTATGTGCTTTGTACCCACTAAAATGACGGGGGTTCACACCGACACCTAGATCAAAGATTACAACTCACTCCGATACAGGTATATTTCTACTAGACTATGAGTTACACTTTCTATATATGACAGTTTTTGATACTAACCCTAATTATCCAGAGTGAAATAGGTACAGCTGAGTTTCAGCTGGGGACCTACTAGTCATAAATAAGTCAATAGCTTACTTAACACGATGGGGTACAGTTTCACAATGAAATCAATGTGAACAGTTGACAAACACGCCTTATTTGTTTGTATTAAGATAAAGCTCTGAATATTTCTGTAGTTAAATGTAAGTATCCATGCTAAGCACTGTACTACAACCGTTTTGTGAGGTCTGATGATACTGCCTAGCTAACCATAACGTAGTGAATGAGGCAAGTTTCGAATTGATAAAACTTAAGTAAATAACCCAATGGAGTGATGGATTTGAAAGCTTTGACTATTTTATTCATTTCAGGAGTAACACCAACTCTGATCGATTGGCTAATCATAGTATCAAATATCCAGTTGGCATCTGTCAGCCTACAGCAATTTCAGCGTCAGTGAGATTTTTAATTGCTAAACACAAGACACAATAAAAGCGTAACAGTCGACTTTTCCCTACTATAAGACTGAGAGATGCAATTATTGAAGGTGAATGAAACAGACCACATGTTTTTTAACTTACAGGTGTCTTTGAGACATTTTTAGAGTGTGAAGGAGTCACTATGTTAAGAATGTTGAGTATAGGTGTAGAGTACTACGAAGTTTTTAACCTCCGCCCCCTACCTTAATATGCAATGTTAGCAGAGGTAGGATTAGGTTCGAAAAACGCCAAGGATGGCTAGGTCAAGAAATCGTACATTCTGAACCATGTAAGCATGCTTGACTGGTCCCCCTTTAATATTCGTCTTTTTCTTTTCGACAATATTTTCTCCCAGATGATTTCTTTATTTTGCGTTGTTATGAGGTACAGTAGGTTCAGCCGATATACTTAGTACAATATCATACTGCCTTTAAACTATATGAGTAATTTAGCACAGCTGTGTCAATCAACAACAAATTTAACACAGTGTTGTTTAGATTATTCCTATGTAACCAGCGAAACCAGCTGATTGTCAGTGGCAGTAGAGACAAAAACTACTCTAATCTATAGTTAGTAGTATAATTTGGTGTGTAAATTAAGGTTCAGATTTGTGCACTGATAAAAAAGTCACTGCTTCGCATAAATACCTTCTGGGTAGGCATCACATGTAATCTCATAGTAACGTTTTTGTGTTGTTTATGTGAAATAAAACTATTTGTAACGATGATATATCTATAATGAACAGAGATAATCTCCTGTAAAACATGTGCACAAAAGCGACAGGAATAAAGTAAAACTTGGTGAATACATCTGAATGGTTGGAGAACACAACGAAACTTTCACCAGATAACTTTATCAAGATGGCATAAACTTTCAAAGACTATAGACCGAATAAAGCAACAAGGCGAAACGAAAAAGTACTAAAATTTACATGAAGAAGATAGGTGGAATGTCTCTGCTACTGACACCGATTTTAGAGTCCATGTGACTCATGCCCCCATCTATAGATTTCTCCTACCTACCTAACCATCGTTAGTTATTGTAAGACAGAATGGGAACGAGTGATTAACAGAAACAGAACTGATGGTGAGGACAAAGAAAAACGTAGACATAATTCGATTCATCACGATAGTAACCAATTTCATATTGTCGACCACTTCATTTACTTGGGAGGTTGCATCAGCTCCAATGGGCTGATTGTTAACAAAATCTCAACTCCAACACAGGAAGCTCTTTTGGCATTCGCAAACTTGTGTCATCACTGGCGGTGGTCGGCAAGATATTCGACTATCTATCAAACGACGAGTATACTCTGTTGCAGTGCGTTCTATCCTGTTATACAGCTATGAGATATGGCGGTTAAAGAAAAGAATACATGAAAGTTGTAGGGTTTTGATCATAGGTGTCTTCGTAGCATTGGTCACGTTTGATGTAATCACTTTGCAGGCAATACTGAGCTAAGGTGAAGGGTACTAGGTAAGGAAGGCCGACAAATCGATTGATGGAGTTGTGAACCTTCATCGACTGAGGCGAGTTGGACATGTACTGCCCATGTCGAACCACAGGCCTATCTCGACTTACCATGCTAGAGGAAGTTGGACTAGGTTGTAAGAAGGTTCCGAGTGACCAGACCAAGACCTAGCACTAATCCATAGAGTCTCTTACTGTTGGTTTGAGCCATGTGGGGAGATATCGACTACCTAGCTGGGGTCCTCGAGATGAAAGGAATCAGTGATCGAGGACTCTTGATTAAATGGCTGGAAATCGATCATAATGGCGCCAATATATTCATTCTTTGACATCTTCTAAAGCTTGAATATTAACCCTACCCTTCACCTTCAGATTGTTTATTCTTTCATACAACTGTCTACTCTAATATCAGTCTTTTTCTATCCACTTGTTCATTGTTTACTAATTTGAATTGTGGCAACTTGATGTGATGCATTTGCATGAGACGTTCTACATTGATTCTGTCTGTCATGTTATCTGGTCCTAATTGGTGACCAAATTCTATCAAACAGCTCAAAAGTCTGTGACCGTAGCACCAAGTGATACTCGTTCGGATCTTTGAGGCGACGTCACTTCCCTTGAGGTTATAGATACGACGCATTGATGAATGTAAACAAGCATGAAACTTACTTAGGTTAAGCAAAGCTTTCTACAGATTCTTTTTTTTAACTAACTGACATACAGGCATATTTAGAAGGTTTTTATGCATACACACCTTTGAGAATAAACACTATTCAAAATGTAAATTCCAAGACTTTCGCTACTGCTTAGTAAAGACAATTTTATTGGGCTGTTCAGTATTTATTACAAACCAATCAAGAGGAAGTAACCACTCGCTTACCTACTATCATATTTGAGGCTGATGGAGATTTTATTTCTAAGGTTGTATTCATTAGGAAACTGAGATCAGTTGGAGAACCATTGGAATCCTTGAGAGCTGGGTAGCTGCTTTGTCCTAGTAGGGAACTCCTCACCAATCCAGTCTGTTGTGATGAATACTACCACTACCTATAAATCTTAACGTTAATTAGTGTATAGTGTTCATTAGTAACATGTTTCGAGATGGATGTTCCAAAGTTCTAGTGCGAAACAGTGATCTGTAGGGTTAACCAGTTAGAAGAGATTCCAACTCAAGACCTTGGTGGATAGTCTCGCGCTATATCACGAATTGACAGAAGTAGGAAACTGTGGACCAGTGAACGCTAGCCCATCCCACGTTTGCCATGAGACCTGAAAGTTCTGAGTCCGATCCCTGGAGGTGTTGTGGGTGAGTACTACAGAGAAGTCCCATAGTAGGAGGAGACAGCTGTTCAGTACTCCTATGTTTTCAATGTTTGGTAAAAGGCACAGTAATCGGTTGTTGTTTTTCTTGGCAGTCTCATGATTCACTAATGCACAACGTACTACAGATGGGATACTGTTGATGTGAATATTTTCAGTATTTCAATCCATTCAGTCAGTATTGTAAACTGAGTTTCAGTTCACTAGATCATGTCCGATATTGAGCTAAACTGTTCATTTTAAGACTTTATGCTGACATTTAAAATAAATAACACCTCACAATATCGTTGATATAACTATTAGATAATTCAGAAAACCAACTTCCAGGTAATTAACGATGAACAACTTACTATTGAAATCATCCCAAGTCTCAGGTTTAGAGAGATAGGGAACAACTGCCGTTTTGAATAATGTAATGAAAACTATAGGACACTCTAGAGTGAAGACCTAGAGATAAGACTTCGAAGAATCAGAAATGTGAATCAGTAACTACCGTAGTTTCCGGCCTAGTGCCCTGCCAATTGAGTTACGAGACCAGACTGTCAGTCAGATATTTATTTCACTTCGATCATCATAACGTGTCACATATAGCAGTTGGGCGAAAATGTTGGTTATTCAAATGGTTTTCGTCGCTCATTCGGTAGAGAACGGGGTCGGTAATCCAGTGATGGCTGGTTCAAACCTTATGACAGCCCAAATTTTTACCTCACATTCAATCATTACGCAGTACTAGTCTGCTAAGCCATGTCTATCTCAACCATATAGTCAAAATAATAATTAGAAATTTACTAATATAGTTAGGAAGTGAGAAAATAGGCTTGTAATTAATAATTATGATGCCTTAAAATCACTTCAAAAAGTGGATATTTAAATGCACCCCTAGAGTTCAAATATTTCACTAGTTCTAGATTTCAAGCCATGGGAGAAAATGATGCAAACTTAACTGCCATCCACTAAGAAACACTTTCACTCAATATTCCTTTACATTCGGTGTAGCAAAATCATAACCATAATGACGGTTGAAATAAAAGCTAATCAGACAATTTGATCTCATGAGCATCTATGAGATTACCATTAGAAGTTTGAGATGTTGAGATAAAGCTGGAACTCTGTATATAGGTATCCAGATATTACAAAGACAATGCATAATCTGACAAACTTGTGCATCGTTCGCATACACACACACACACATACGTACAAATACGAAATTAGATTATCTAGGGCAGGATGCTAACCGAATTTGTGCGTCCCATATCGGATCACGATAATTGTAGAGGTAAAACTTTTAAACACACAACTCGGAAGGTGTTCACGAGCAGCGGATACAATTTAGAGGTTATATGCTAAACGGGAATACTAGTTCAGAAACTACGCAAATCAATCCAAAGTCTTTTCAATGCTGGTAAATTACAAATTTCTTGCATACACCCAGTGGTGACACCGAGACTAAAAGATGAATTACCTAGACTGGCCAGTTTCTGATGTGTTTATCAATTAGACTGCTTTTGTGGAGTTAGTTACGTCGGCCGCTCCTCTAGAGATTTTATTTTACGTGCACGCGAACGCCTCTCAGTGTGATTAAGTAAACGTGTGTTAAGCACCATTATCAGCTCTATATTAGTGTATCTAGTTGAAACAAACCATAAAGTGGATTTGAATGAGTCGTTTTCCATTCTATACCGTGTTCCTATCAACTTTAAAAAGGTACACGCGTCAGGATCCTTCACACTATAGAAGCAGCAGCAATCAGCATCAAATATACAAATATGTACAGTGAGGTAAACATAAAACTATTTATAAACAATTCACCTTAAGTCGCCAATTAATTCCAGCCTCGTAATTAAATTTTTGTAACCAATCATCGGTGAAGTGATTTGGAGCACTGAAATGGAAAGTAAACAGAAGGTTAAAGAAGTAGGTAGACAAATATGGACCTGTTTAAGTAACAGTGGTAAAACTGAAACAAAAAAAGTTGGTGGACCGTTATTACAAAACTTGTACTTCAACCTTAAATACCTTGATGTAATCATGGCAATTGATATATCATGAGGTAGCCTACTCATTAACTGAAGCCTTGTCATGTGGGTTGACTCACGGGCTTAAAACTCGCTCCATTCATTAAGCTTTGAATAAAAAAGCCAATATCATAAACTCGTAAACCGTAAAAGTGGTTCATTACTCTCCAGTGACCAATCAATTTATCTCATCCAGTCGTAAAGGAGGTTAGTCGCAGCCCGAATATCTCAATTACAACGTCTCTGACTGCAGCATTGAGTGACACAGATTAGAATCTCAAGTGGGACATCAGTCCTGCAGAGGTTGCAGATACGCCTTGTTGACAGGTGCCAACATGCACGAAACCTAAGTCCAAGGCTTCCTGCCAATTGCCTCCATCCAACTAATAATACAATATTGGGATTAGCTGTTCCATAGACTACTGAAGCAAGAATACACTGAATACAGAAATCTGTACATAAACAAAGTTAGGAGTGAACACAATACTGTTCACCACTGACCAAACTCTCATTAATAAATCCATCTCTTCACAGTCACTCACAATAATCACACTGTAAATTTAAAAAAATCGACACATGAACAACAAGTATTACTGCTGAAAACAAAAAAGCTTGACAGAGTAGCGGAACCAAAACATGCACCATGCAAAATAATACAACATAATGAGGACAGGATATAAAATGGTGTAAGAAAAAAAGTACCGAGATGGCCAGAAAACTAGTTTCATATTCAATCTGCTCACATCACTATTCATTACTTCCGATTTCCCTCAATATCTGATTATGTTTCAAGTGATTGGGCTACACGATCTCCCATGATGCATCAAGGGAACTGTGATGCAAAAAAACATATCCTACTTCAAAACCACTATCTTTTATTCCTTTACACCACGATATACACTGATTGGTTGTGTCCACCTCTTCCAAGTGGTATAGCTCAGAACCGATTTCAGTGGCGTAGGTACATCTGCACATAATCTTCATCTTAATCCTCATCTAGGAACGAATTATTGTTTTATTTCTTCTTGTTCTGTTTTTAAGACTTTCTACTAATTATCTTTGATTCCCCTACTTTTCATCTTGCTCCATTGATGAGCTATGCTCATCGAGTGGTGTCCGTCAAGCATGCCCACTGTCTCCATTCTTATTCAATTTTATCATAGATATCCTTATGAGGGTCTCCCTCTCGTCACCAAGTTATACAGACGTTGACCTAATCACAGGAGAATTTTCGTCAGACCTAGAATATGCAGATGACATAGTCGTGTTAGGTGAAGACGCTGATAAGATTCAGAGTCTTCTGAACACTTTGAGTGGGAATTTGAGAATGTTTGGGATGCGGTTCTCACCACTCAAATGTAAATTGTTGCTCCAGAATTGGTCTTCAGTGGTGCCACAGCTTACAGTAGAAAGTGAAGTGGTTGAGTGTGTCAACCACTTGCTTCACTTACCTGGGAAGTAGGATCACCCCTGGTTGGTCACTTGCCGATGAAATCTCTACACGGATACAAAAGTCTCGATTGGCTTTCTCCAATTTACACCATCTATAACGCCACCGTGATATCCGACTGTCTATTAAAGGTCGCGTGTACTGCACCTGCACAGCAGTCCACTCTATTCTACTCTATGGCTGTGAAACATGGCCATTGAAGGTGGAAGACATGAGAAGGCTGGTTTCAGGTGTTTGACCACCGTTGCCTTCGTAGTATAGATTGTATTCCGTGGTGTCACTACATGAGTAATGAAGAAGTCAGGTGTAGAGTTTTAGGGAGTAGAGGTAAGTCAGTTGACGAGGTTGTTGTGAAGCTTCATGGATTGAGATGGTGGGGACACGTACTACGTATGCCTAGTCACCGATTGCCTTGTCACACAATGTTGGCCGAAGTAGGCCTAAGTTGAAGAAAGGTCCGAGGTGGCCAGACTAAATCATGGAATCAATGTATAAAACGTTTGACTGTTGGTTTGAGCCATGTTGGGGGCGATACATACTAGGTGGTTGGGGTCCACGGGACAAGAGGAACCAGTGGCTGGAGATTTTAGGTGATGTGGCTCAGAACCGATGTCAGTGGTGCAGATTTACACACATACATTATCCTCATCTTAACGACGCTATATCGAATCTCACCATTTTGTCATTCTTCCTTTCCTTCTTCTCGAGATTTATATTTCTTTTGACTGAATTTTCTTATCTTCATCTTTCACCTCACTACCTTTCTACTTGATGTACTGATAGGAGGTGTGGTGGCAACTCAGACCTTTATGTAGTAATGCCTGGTCCTATGTTGATATTGATGATGATGCTCCATTGATGTGACAACTCTTACCCTAATGCAGTAACAGCAAGTACCATTTTGAAATTGACTGAGTGATATGGAAGCTGATAAAATGGTATTCCTAACACAATCAAGCCACTGAATCTTAAGATTTAAGATGACTTCACTTAATGAGTGACGATTTCCATGATGCCATAAAACGTGTACCGCCAAACTTCAGAACTAATTACATGCTCTTGGTGTAAGATGTGAGCAATCTCATTGAGACAGTGGTGATTGAAAACACAAAACGGCCAGTGATCTTCAGCTCAGACAGGTTATCTTTAACAAGCGTAGAACATAAATACCTACATCTGAGCATTGTACACACCCGATCCTTCAGCAGTTAAACTAACGTTGCAACAACTTGAAAGATGGCCAACATCAGTATACACCTGGCTTTCGATATACGATTAAAAAGCACATCTGCCATACTTTTGCCAGCGCTTATACAACTAATCAGATAGATAAAGCTTTCAGCAACTTCTAACATTTCACCTCCGAGAAACAGTGCAAATACAGGTTCCTATAAATCTCATCAAAGTACCTTGCACTTAGACAGGAAAAAGCATATATCACACTTGGATAAACAAAATGTCCAGTTGTTTACACTGAGGTGTATCATCATAACAGATAAGTGGACGACTGAGAATATTGATCAACAAAAGAACTTCTTCATTTCTTTATCCCATGAAAATAAGCAAACCATCAACTAGACAATGACCAGTAGTCAGTCATAAATTTACACATTTGATGTCAGCAGTATACTTCCAACCGGACATCATCACATAAAGAGATACAACAATACAAATTAGCGCTGTTCACAGAAATTCTTTATCGATATTATAGATTCAGAGTTTAATTTAGTGAAGGGAAATGAAAACTCGGTATATCACTAGTTCGTATCACAGTTGAATAACAAATGAAAGCTAGAAAGCATAACTAGTAGCTGCTTCACTCCTCTTAGTACAGTATTCAGTTGTAGGGTACACCGTCGACCCCCGACAAGATTGAATATACAAGTGAATGATGCTTAGTGAGCAGATGTATCGCCTACCATAGAGTACTATCCCTTCTAAACAGAAAACTTATTGGTCAATACAATCCGTTACTCGTAACGTCTTTTCTTGTTATATATAGGTGGAAAGAGGCTACGTAATAATAACAGCAGATCCGTACACATTGCCAGGGAGGTAATATTAGACATACAGAAAATGTATAACTCATATCGTAAAGCCTGTAATATGTCCAAGCAATATCGATTAAATTGGCAGGGTAAATATATGTGTATCTTTTTTTCAACACAACTCACACATCCACTGTTTACTTTCCTGTTATTCACAGATATAATATATACATATGTGAGTACAACTGAGCAACCACGCACAGATTTGCGTATTTTGTTGTCAGTCACACCTATTGCATAAAGACTGATAATGCTACCTGTTTGCTAAAACCATAACATGTCTAACAAGATTTGAAACTGTAACCTGGAGGCTGAAATTCAAGTGCCTCCTAAACTAACAAGTTACAGTCCTACAAACTCGGTGTGATATATGCAACATATACAATTCCCTCGATAGCTTTATGCAAATATACTTACGAGTTCTACAGGCTTTCCAACATTCTCCTATTACTTGTCTTGACTCTAAGGCAAAACACACCTATTTACATACGTTATTAACACAGACATTAAAAAACAACCAAATATAGTAACTTTCTCGATCTAAAAGCTATATGCTTCAATATACTATATATATATATATATATATATATATATATATATATATATATATATATATATATATATATATGGTCCACTAAGAAAGTGAATTAGCTTACATCATCAGACAAATAACATATGATAAGCCAAGGCAAAAGGAGGAGAGGATGTAATACGCACGGTTGACTGACAGCTAACTTCGTAAGCAACATCCACCGACTCCAAACCGGACGAAGCAGTGTCAAAGATTGAAATGGATGAGAGAGTTTATTCCCCCGAGAAGAATAGTTAATTAACTCAAAAACATGTGTGTGACATATGACCTCTTTCAGAATTTGAAACATTAACATGGTAAACGTAACCACTGCCCAATCAGCGAATTACCTGCGGCGAAAACGACAATTTAAAGATGTTTAAGTTGATAAACAATGTTTTATGCAAATTCGGGGCCTACCAAAAATACGAATGCCACTTTTTAACTGATAACAGTCGGCGAAAACCTTTGTCAACAAAACATTCAGCTAATGCTTCTTTCATCGATGTCTTTCGAAGCATACCCACCTATAGCCACCCCTGCTGGAATCAGAATGAGATAGGACAAAAGAAGGAAGGGAATAACAACCCTGCTGCAGAGTAAAATAAAAGACCAACTGATAAACCACGTGAAATAAATACACGTTCAGAGCTTGAAAAAGTATGAAAAAAAGTCATTAGGTAGTAACCATAATTGTGTTATTAATTAAGCTTAAGGTTGATCAGATAACAGCCTGAATGACTAACTGATCAGCAGTATCTCTGACTGTCACACTAAATGGTGTGGAATTAAATTTCAGAAGAAGTGTAATTCTTCAGAAGCCAGATGACATGACTCATTGATGAGTACAAATAAGCATAACACTTAAGCATAATACACTTACTAACAAGGCCCTCAAAAGATGTTTCACATTTAGTAGGAATACTGAAACCAAAAATGGTGCAGCTACATGTAATTTTAAGTGAAAAAAATAAATTCTTTAATTCAGCTGCAAACCTCAAAATATCAATGCCTTTTGAGAATGTGTTGCACATGTCTAAACACAGACATGAAATGCCAGTGGGAGTAAAGTCTCAGGACGATAAATCTAAGCAATAGCATTACTCAATAGTGCCAATCGCTGTTGATTTGAGATACTGGCAACGATCATGATGTTCTGTTTAGGTACTGCTTCTGCTGAAGATGTTGCGGCATACACGCATACTTATGTAATGATTCGATCAAATTCGGCGCTCAAGTTCTTCCAGCACATTCGTAACAACCATGGACTGGATATTTATGCATAAAATAAGGGTGTTACAGAACTTGGAAGAGTATGAAACGATATCTATGTAAAACAGAGGTTTACATCTAATATAATTGAACACTAAAGTTTTGTGCATACAACAACCTAACAACATTAGTTGCGTACAGACTCTATTCATAAAAGTGAGAACATACTGAAGTACAACAACTTCAAGGAGAAACGAAGAAAATTACTTAGTGTCTATCCTAAAAAAGAACGGCTACCCACGAAACTTTATCACAAGATGCCTATCAACTACAAAGTCATCGACAGAAATCAACAAACGCATCATCCTACCACACATCAAGACTATATCAGAAATCACGACAAGATTACTAAGACCACTTGGTGGAATCGGTGTGGCTCATAAACCAACAGGCTCCCTGCAGACCAAAGGATGCAACAACCAAAGAAGACAAATCAAATATCATTTACAAAATCAACTCCAATAACTATATTCAACACTACATTGGACAAACTGGTCGCCCTCTTTCTTCACCTTCTTCTACATGAACAACAATTGGCTGGTCAACTTCACATACAACATTTCATCGCTCACTCCAATGCACGTGGATAACAACTATAGACATGTACTCAATTTTGACAATGTAGAAATCCTGGAAAGAGAAAACACAAATGATATTCGAGAATTTTTAGAAGCTTGTCATTCAGGTTAGTCAGTCAGTCAGCAATCAATAGATGTGTAGACATAGACACAATCTACCAACCAATAAGAAAAGTGATAAATAGCAAAAAGGTCAGAAGTCAGACTGATAAACGGGTAACAGGAAAATATATGCAGTCGATGATACGATCAAAGGAAACAACCAATCACAAACGAGTTTGTTAGGGGAAGCTACTAAATCACTCACGGAGAAATACTGACAGCTCACTTCATATTGAAATGGGTGCTGATGATGTTGTCTACAAAGACAATGAAAGCTCCACGATTAAGCCACCCAGCTCAGAAAACACAACAAAACCCAGATGACCCACCTAAGCAATAAATATTCTTTACCATTTCGAAGTGTTTGACTGTAGGTCTGAGCCATGAGGGAGATGCAGACTAGCCGGTTGGGGTCCCCATAACAATAGAAACCAGTAGTTGAAGACTCTAGGTGATAAGGCTCAGAATCGATGTCACTTGACCAGATGCATACAAGCATTACCTTAATCTTAACCGCTACACTGAATTCAGAGCTTTCGTATTCCTCCTTCCTTTCATTCTACTATTTTCTATTATTTCTAACTGTTGCCCCTCTTTGTTTCTTCATTTTTCATCTAATTAGTTTGCTATTTGATGTGCTGACATAAGGTGTGGCAACTTGGACCGCAACGTAGTAATTCCTGCTCCTATGTTGATACACATGACGGTGACAGGGCTGGGAACACAATTATCACCGTAGTGAAAAGAATCACTGGTTAAAAACAAGGGAGCTAAGTGAGGCCTGAGGATGATATTGTCATGGTGACTGATAACTCGGATTTTATTTATACACTCTTCTAACAAATGAATGGACACCGTACTTCGAGAACAATCTATTTTGAAAAAAAGATGGGTGTGTACATTGGGTAGTGAAAAGAAGCATTTGACAAAACTTCCCATAGAGTAGTAACCAAAAGGTAACCGATAGAGCTGTCAAGATCTTAGTGCTAAAGTCTGATCAGTCTATCGATCAAATTTGTAATGTAACCACAAAGATAAGTGGAGCGAAATTATGATGCACTGAACTATATATTAAGTGTTGGAAATCGATCGACAGAGCCCCTTACAACTGAATCGATGCTAACAAAAAGCGATTTTAAGAACGAGTGATTAGTTAATTCCTTAAACAATGACACTTAATGATTCATGAATTTTGAAAATTAGATATTTACAAATAAAGATATTGCATTTTGTTACACGAATTAACAAACAACTTGAGACCTTGCTCGAAGTAATAAAAATAGAAAAAGGTGAACTTAATATTTTATAAGACAGCAAAAATATTTGGCAAAATCATCTGGGGAAAAAAACACTCTTTTTTATTGATGTCTACTTGGTGGCTAGCAGTGGAAACCAAGACGCAAGTTTCGTCCCGTTTGGGACTCGCCAGCTGGGTGCACCTGCACTCCAGTGGGTGCTGTTGTTCCCACTGGAACTCGAACCCAGTACCCACCGTTCCAAAAGCCAAGGCACTATCCACCAGGCCACCGGAACACGAGGATCACCTCTTGTGCACCAGATATCAGCTATTGTTTTTGATGCTTTCAATTCCTCGTTGCTATACAGGGTCGAATTGCTCGACATCAGACAGACATCAATAAAATGAGTAGTCAGGCAGTATCGAGGCCTCCGCATAAGAGCCTATTTGCCAACAGACGTCGAGCAATTCGACCCCATATAGTAACGGGAAATTACAAGAATCAGAAGCAGTTTTTTTTCACTTGGAATTCGTTACTAAGTCTGTATGATGTAAATACACAATTCAACAACTAAGTACACATTCACTATGAACCGCACCTATTTTGTTATGGATAATGATGTTAAATGGTTTCGAAATTGGAATAGGGTTTGATAATAGAGGCCACTTGATAAAAATTGAGTCCCTAAGCTAGTGGGCTACAACTTCAAAAAAAAGAGAAGTGCAGTGTCACTTGAACTCAAAACCTGTGAGTGTTAATTTAGGGTTTTGGATACTCATTTTTTACAGAAACGTAGTGGAAGGAAACTGAAAAAGGTTGTACAGCACATAACTAGCTTGTTTTATTGTACGACAGTGTTTTTTAGGCACAGTAATACTTGTGTTCATTATAGAGCTTACGATTGCTCACATAAGAAGTGGACTGGCGTACATTAAAGACTCACTTCTCCCAAGCTTAAGTGGCAAATATGACCTTATCCATTAAAAAGGGTACATAGGAATAAATATTAGGCTGAAAACAGCAGTTGTAAAGGATCTCAGTGATGAATGACCATGATGTAACTTAGCAATCAAATGAAGTTGTGTGCACCATTCAATGAGTTGCACCAGTTGTGTGAGGATGTAGGATACCGCCTGAACGCCCAAATCACGTTAGGTAGAGAGGGACTCAAACCTATGACTCACTGGTTAAAAACCAACCACCTAGATCAATGAGCCTCATTTCACAACGTAATGTGTGATTACCAATCATTCATCACACTTTTAATGAACGACCAGACGAGATTTGGAAATTAGGTAAGTATTTTTAAATGAAAAAGCAAATCGGTTCATGAGACAGTGAAGCAGAAACAAATGTGGTCCATGTGGTACGTGTTGTACAGTAATGTCAGGTTAGAGGTTTGAAAAGTAAGATATTGAACCAATTGACAAAGTAACTCATTCTTCGTGGGGCTATGGACTATTGGGTTAGATATTCAAATTCTACTCCATTCACTGAGGTTCGAGAAACCAGGTAAGTATTGTTGTAGTCAAGTAATAATGGTTATAAAATAACCTGTTATATGAAGCCGTACGTGTTCGTTGAACTAGATCAATGTTAGTTCCAGCTCTGTAGAAAAATGTTATCACCTTGAGTGTGATCCACTAGTTGAGGATGACACACTCTAAACCAGTAAGCTAGAAGCCGTGTATATAAAGATAACAGGACAATGTGATTTGCTAGGAAATGACTCAATTGTCGTCAATCGAACTCAAAGTAAATGGGTACATAATTATTCTTTATCGCATTTAGCCTTATCCTTATAAACTTTCTGACAACCTTGACAATGTATTGCTAAAAAAGGTACATGAAATTATGGTTAACTATTGATCTGCACAATTCTTCATAAGAAGCTTTTTTAAAGTATCAATAACAACAACATTACTCACATTGTATTGAGAACTTTAGCCAGTATTATACCATCCGTTACATCGTGTATAAAATGAACATTTGCTGCTGTGCTAAAAGTTCTTAACTGAATGTAATTTTGAAGTTAAAAAAACCCAAAAAATACCCATCTGAGGAGATTTTCAACCGGGAAATCCAAAGACATCTGAATAAAGTCCAGTGTGTATTGATCGCGACAGATGTTTAACAGGTAAATGTAATCCTCGGATTTCTAAAACATGTGCAAACTACAGGACAGAAAACAAACCAAATGCATAGTGAACAGAAGCTCAGTAACAAAATGCAGTATATCAAAACCTTAACATTAAATATGTCAATAATCATACTTGTTAAGTGCTATTTTCCACTCTACTGAAAGTGAGATATTGTTGAGATATAATTTCCAAGTTGTTATCATGCGACCTAAAAACGTAATGAAACCAATGGATTTGCCGCTTAGAAATTACATCAGATGTCATCCTGTCCTTTCTATTTTGATGAATGATTCAATGTGTTATGCTAAATCCGTATTATTAACATGTATACTGCATGGGAAACAGCTCAGAGAATTCCTGAATTATCGGTACACCGTTTGACATATATTGAAAGCAAAACAACAGTGGCCTTTTTGTTTTTCAAGGAAATGTTTCGACTTTTACATTGATATAACTGATATAACTGTCTCATTACCAAAAGCCCATGTTGAGGACCACAATCAGGTAATGACCTTATATGTACGTACCTCTTTAGCAACTTAAACTCAAAAAAAGTGCAAGTTCATACATCAGGCAATAAATTATCTGCATTGTGTGGGGGCTAATGTTAATACCTGGATGTCCAAACCTAGGTAGGTAGGACGGTGTTAGATCCCGTACCCTATAGGTTAAAATTCAACTGCTGAGAACAATGGGCCACAGCTCAACAGTATCAATATGGGACTTCAAACCAGTTGAAAACCATAAGTAAATACAAACGTCTTTGCCGAGTTACAAACTGAAAAACTAAGAAGTAAAAAAATTCTCCCAAAGCCCCATATAACGAGCATTTTATACTGTTTTTGGAAGAGCCGAACCGGTATTTACGCAGAAGAAACCAGTCAATTTATGAGGATACAAACCATCGACTGAGATGACTGGGACATGACCATGGTCATGGCCAGCGACTATCAATCCTGATGTGAGATTCTAACTGAAGCAGGTTTAAGCTTAAAAATGGTTGAAGACGGATAGATTAAAACGGGGTATCAGCACATGAGGTCTTTGACTGTTATTGATATGGCTCGGAGTCAACCAGATGAATCTAACCATTATTTTTATCCTTATTATTACATCATATTTAGTTATTAGTCTTTTCCTGTCTTCTTTTCTTTTCATGCTTTTCTACAACTACTACGAACCCAGCAACCTAGTGCACTTTCACGCAGCTGGCAGTGAGCCACACATACTGCGAGGACTAATGATAGCACCTAGCTGACTAAATCTCGGTAAATGGAGTGGTTTTAAAACCCATTTCTCACTGGTTGCAATTCAACTACTGTAACCAATAGGCCACAGTTCAACAATATCAACAGGGGACATAAAATTAGTTGGACACCATAAGTACTGGGCCACTTTCTTTGCACTTTGGTAACACACAACCTCAGTCGCTACGCTCAAATATATGAAACGCCATATTTCCCTCAGACAAATTCAAATGCTTCATCTTATGCTGATCATATATTGAGTGAGGAGAGGCTTACTGAGTAATGAAACCTATGAAATATTACTTAATGGACCTTCCTACCCCTGTGTTGGACTTCATCTTTAGATAGCTTTCACTGTACATATGAATAAGCTATTCAGACATTCTGAATAGATGTAAACGTCAAAATTGACTGAGCAGTAGTATTATGAAGGAACAAAAACCAAAGAATATCTGGGTACCGGTAAACGTCAAACCTGACACTTTTGTCTGAGGCAGGATCACCACTGAACTAGGCAAATGAGTAAACGGTTAACAAAAGCTGTCTACACGAGAGATGACTAGGAAAGGATGAATACTAATTGAGCCATATGCCGAAATGGAATACGTTATTAAACAGAAAGAGAGGTATAAACAAGATAATCTCACTCCTTAAACTTTTTGCAGCAAAACGTCCGTCTAGAAGTAAAGACAATGTCTTTTCGGCGACCAATCCCCATAGTGTTAAGCAATTCAGCCTGTAGTAATTAAATTTTCAGTTAATTCTGGAATACTCTAGGAGCATTTGCCAGAGAAAATCATTGCCTGTAGGCAATTCGATACAGCATTTCAGGTATTGTAGGAGATAAGAATAACACACAAATGCTAACACAGATTTTAGTGAACATGCCACAAGATATATATATATATATATATATATATTTACATAAACACACAGAATCTCAACTGTCTGTGAATTCAGAACTGTTGTTATTTCCGTGGAGCTTTCGAAATACTGAAAATCAACAGAAAATTATGCTAAAATCACTTATGTCACTGGTTATAACCCGGAAACCATTAGTGTGAAAAACTTGTGGCTTTCAGTCTATCGCAAAAACCTTACTCAACACATGTTAATATCAACAATGTAAACAGACTAAGATAATTCGCCAGCTAATTTGTTGTACAAGTTCCAAATTATATCCCGCATGTTCATTGTATGTATAAGCTTAAGGAAAAAATGTATTTAATAGTAGATCCCAATCTCAAAATAACAGATATTTAAGGTTAGAACTGCAAAGAGTAAGTTACTCACCTCTTAGGAATACCCGCCAATTTTCTAGGATATCCAATATCTTTTTAACGAGCTTGTGTAAACCAGTTGATTTCTTCGCGCTCGCTTCTTGGTTTTGCGGAATGGCTCCATATCTTTGGCAGATTCCGATGCAGTAGGTCCAGCCACTCGTCTGCTATACCTCTGGTTTACAGAACAGGAAGTTAAGTGTTGGTTTGTTTGTCTTGGACTGTTGTGCAGTTGACTTCTTCAGATGTTGAGTTGCCAGACAGCTGTTAGGACTGGTCGCTAGAGAGGGTTGGGGATAGTGAAGAGAAGACCTAGAAAGTGTTTGTGTGAGTAAAAGAAAAGAGGAAAGGTGAACTAATGGAGTAATCTACTTACACCCAAGTAAGGTGAGTAGGGGCGCAAGGTATGAAGAACTTAAGTAAGTGAGGCTAACTTGTGGCAAGTGAAAGGGGTGAAAGGGCTTAAATGGTTACAATAGAAAGAAAACTGGTTGGGGGGGCCTGACATCACTTCGTGTTCCAGCTATGCGTGGGTAGACCGTGAGTCTCTGCATGACTGTCTAGCCTCTTCATGAAGCTTTCAAGAGTTGGGGCGGAGACCACCTATGCTGGTAGTGCATTCCAGTACCCATAGACTCGGAGAGAGAAGAACTGTGGACGCACATGCGTTTTTGATCTCTGGTGTGCTATTCTATTGGGGTTTCCTCGAGGATCTCCGTCGTGGCCACTCGGTAGGACTCCTCTGTTTGGGTGACTTGGATTACTCAGTATTTTGTAAGCCATTATTAGGCCGCCACGTATCCTTCGATAGCTGAGGGAGTATAGACCTAGGTCTTTGAGTCTATCCTCATATGGTATTCGTCGCATTCCAACAACCCCTTTTGTGGCTCGCCTCCATACTTTCTCCAGTAAGTTCTCGCCTCTTTTCAGCTGTGGTGGAGCGAAGACTTTATAGACCTCTAAGTGAGGCCGTGTGTAGGTCTTGTAGGGCTACAGAAAGAGTTCTAGGGTGAGGGCACCCAGTTATCTACGCACAAAGTGTAGTACCCCATATGCTTTCGAGACATCACCTGGGTAATTGGAACTGGTGTCCAGTTTCTCCGTCACCGTTAAACCCAGGTCTTTTTCTACTGTGGTATGGGATAGACGTGAACCACAGAGATAGTAGGATGTTTCCTGGGGATCAGGAGTGCGGAACAACATGGACCGGCACTTACCCAGATTAAATGCCAGTTCTTTATTAACTCCCCGTTCCTCTAGTGTTCTGAGGTCCTTCTGTAATGCCATAGATTCCGCCTCACAAGTTATTGCCCCCACGACTTGACATCATCAGCGTATAGGGGAATCGGGGAGCTGATATGTTGCGGCAGGTCATTTACGAACAGTAGGAACAACAGTGGGCCCAAGATCGCTCCTTGTGAGACACTGGATTGGATGAGGATGTTCTCTAAGTTGATTAGACCCTGTTGACTTTCGTTCAGAACTCCCTGTTGTCTAAGTAGTTCTGCAGCCACGATAGCACCTGGCTGCGAATACTTAACCCAGCTATCTTATGTATTGGGATATGGTGTGAGACGGTGTAAAAGGCTTTGGCGAAGTCCAGAAAAATTACGTGGACCGGAACCTTGAGATCCCAGCATGCTGTCCAGTGATCATGGGCTGTCAGGAGGTTGGAGGCGCAGGACCTACCCTTCCGGAAGCCACGTTGAGTGTCACTGAGTGCCCGCTTGGTGTCCAGATATTCGCTGATACGGTCGTCCATCACACTTTCCATTACTTTTGATATTACTGGTAGAAGTGCTATGGGTCTATAACAGTTGGGATTCTGTCTGTCACCTCCTTTGAAGATGGAAGAAAGGATAGCCCGTTTCCAATCTCGTGAGAGCTTTCGCTCATCCAAGGAGTGTTGGAAGAGGCTTCGGAGTGGGCCACTTGGGGTACTTGCACATTTTTTCAACACAGATGGCCGAATGCAGTCGTACCCTGGGGATTTTCCTGCGCTTAACTTTAAAAGCTTATCGAGGACAACAGCGCGAGTTATCTGTATTTCGTGTAACTCAGTAGCATCGGGTAACGTTGGAAGCTGTTCGTGCAATTAGTATGAGTACTTTCTTGATGGAATGTTGAGCTGTGTGTCAAGTGTGGTGCTCAGCATTTCAGCAATCTCTTGTCCAGAGAGGTTTTCTGCGTTCGGACCCCTTATGACACATGCTCCTTAGCTTGTCGATTTTCTTTTTGCTATGAATCGGTAAAGGTTTTTAGAGTTTACCCCAAGCCTTTCGGTGAGGTTGGGCTGAGACGACTTCCTGTCTCCCCGCACCCCTATGTTGCTTCGATTCCGTAGAGCCATGTACGCGTCATGGTCATCCTGTTCTCTGGAGTCTCCATGCGTGCCATGCCCTTCTCTTGGCTTTTAGAAGGCGCTTGGTGCCCCGTTTTAGCCATGACGTTCGCTTTCTGGTTGCTGTTACGGCCAAAGAGACGTTTTGCGAGACGGCCGCCTCAATGATATCTTTTACCAGTTCCCAGTGCTGGTCGATCGATAAGGAACACCAATCCACTGGCCACGGAGCTGTTGAAAGGCTCTTGTTCATACCTTCGTAATTTTCCTTGTTGTAACATAGGTAAAAGCGAGGTCCCTCCCATGATAGCTCTTCACTAATTACCAGGTCGAACATTACCATGGCGTGATCGCTACTACCAAGAGAGGTTTGTACCTGGACGTTTTCAACCAGAAGGGGATCACTAGTCAGTAGGTAATCCAGTTTAGATGGTTTACTATCCGACCCCCAGCGGGTGTTGTCGCTGATTTTTTCCTGCAGTCCAGCCATTTGGATGGCATTTAGCAGGTTACAGTCGAACTTCCGGCCAGGTGTGGTGCCACCTTGCTCTAGGCTGAGGGTTGGGGCACTGAAGTCGCCAGTTATTAAAATCTGGTCGTACCCTATAGTTGACACTGTGAATATAGCTTGGAGTAGTTTTTGGTTATGTTCCAAGTTGCTATTAGGGGACCCATAGATTCCTCCAACTAGGAATTTGGTGTGTTTGACCGTGAAGTGGCACTAGATAGAGCCTGGGAGCTCTGTCAGTGCCGCGTCAGTGGTTTGTTCACTTCTGAACCACTTGTTCACGTATATTGTAACCTTCGCTCCGTCCCTATGTTCTCTGTCTCTCCTGAACAGAATCATATCATCTGTGTTAACTTCGGTGGCAATTGTGTCTGGTGACAACCACGTTCCTGTCAGGTTCATGATTTTCGGGGCGGGGTCGAGACAGAGGGGTCGGAGCTCTGGCATTTTACTTCGAAGTCCTCTCACGTAGCTGTAGAGACACTTAGAGGTGTTTCTCGTAACGCGAGATGTCTCTGAGTTAACTAGTGGCACTGGTTTGGATGTGAGGGTTTCTACTGACTGGCCAGTTCCAGTGGAACAGTTCCTGCGACTCTGTCGAAGTTCAAAAACTACCAAGTCCTGGACGTAGATGTTAGTGAGATATATTTTGCTGCAGATACAGCAATCTGAGCTACAACAGTTGGTCGAGATAGCTAGACCTACGACACAGTTGTCCGTTCGGAGCGTAACGGTGGTGATGAAGTAAGCGGTGATATTTTCTGCAGCGAGATTGTTGCAGAAACGTTGAGTGAGGAGTTGAAAGCTCCTAGTGGATAGTTGTAAATGTGGATTTTGTCGAGATGGATGGGGATGAGCTAAAACACGTCACTATACACCTTCGACATACCACAAAACCACACATTTTCAATATCCAACACAACTTTACGAGCTGGCGTTAACCAACTGATTTTTTTGGGCTCGTTTCTAGGTCTTATGGAAGGTCCTATGCCTTTGGGGGATTGCGATTCAGTAGGTCTACTCACTCGCCTGCTGCAGCTCTGGTTGCCCCGATGGGTGGTCGGGTGTTGATTAAATTCGCAGGAATTGTGTGATTTAGTGTTATTGCTTGTGTGATTTGTCCAAAGACTGCGGCTCGGATAGATTCCTGAAGTGTCGTACCACCAGAAATCATTTTAAGTGGTTCTTATTAAGAAGGGCAGAAAACATGTCCAGTAAAATCAAGAGAGGGAAGGAAACAGAAATCACACATAGTGAAAGAAAGAGGAACGGAGGGGAAGATCCAATATATCCAGTATCTGTTTAACGAGTTTATTTAAACCAGCCGATCTCTTCGTGTTCGCCCCTAGGTCTTGCGGAACGCCTCCAGGCCTTTGGAGGATTCGGATGCAGTGTATTTAGCCACTTATCTGATATAGCTAGGTGTTAGTTAGTTTGCCCGGGACTGCGCTGCAGTTGGATTCTTCAGATGTCGAGTTTCCAGCCAGTTGTTTGGACTGGTCGCAAGCAAGAGACAGGGACGACGAGGAGGTGACCTAGGAACACAAACACCCATGAGTAAAAGACGGGGAAAAGTGGAAGGAAGGAGTAGCCTATGTGCGCCGAAGTAAGACGAGAGGGGTGCGAAGATATGCCGAATATAGGTGAGTTAGGTTAATTCAACGGAAGCGAAGAACAAGGCAGGTTCATTGGAGATAAGTGGCAGGGAGAACCATAATAAATAATGTGAATTCACACAGTCAGAGAAAGGAAAAAGAGTAAGATTGTAGGAAGAGCCATAGGAATAAAAATGGTAATGCTATTAGTGGGAGGTGTCTAACAGGGAAGTTTAAGGTTGAGCCAGGTTTGAGGTGATGGTGCCAGTAGAAATGATTCGGTATGTGGTTGGCTGTCCCAGTTTGTATGGAGTTTGTAGGTTGTATCAACATAGTCCTTGTCCAAGCTGGATGAGCGCAAACCGTGAGTTGCTGGGTAGCTTTCAAACCTCTTCACGGAGTTGTTGGTAGACGGAGCAATGGCAGCTTCGGAAGATCAGAGATTCCAGTGGATGCAGACTAGCAGAAAAAAAATTGTGAACGCATGCGGGTTTCCACCCTTTGGTGGGCGATTCCCGTCAGGTTACCATTAGGACTGCTTCAGGGGCAGCCCAGTAGGATCCCACTGCTTGGATGACTTGAATCACCTAGCATTTTTAAACCTTTACCTATTGGTCACGTAACCTACAGTAGTTGTGGGTAAATCCCT